TATATATATATATATATATATATATATATATATATATATATATATATATATATATATATATATTATGGATATAAATAAATAAATTTAAAAAAATTTTTAATGTATAGTTAATGATACAATCCCAGCCAATCAGAGCATATTGTATATAAAATCATCCAATATGGAGTAGAACTTTGGTCCACTGAGATTTTTAATGGGTGGAGCCAATAGCAATGCTATAACAATTACAAACCAACATTCACAGGGGAAAAACTCACATTTGCATGCAACTTTCAGCACTTTATTGCCTCAATTCTTTATTTTTACTTCATTAACACTTAATTTAAGTTACAAAGAAGCTTTTGCTCATAATACATTTATTTTTGTATTTTAATAACAGTCATTAAGCATACCCTGTATCCCGGGTCTTCTTTCAGCGAGGCTGTGTTAATAGGAGATCCAGACTGCCAGAGCGTTTCCTTCATACTGCAGCCATACAGAAACACATTCTTCTTCCTGGAGTGACCATGGTAATCGCAAAACACCTGTGCAATGTGATAACAACAGGTTTTTTTCAAAAGATATATATGTATAGCAAAACTGCAAGACTGTGTTGTATTTCTACTTGAATAACAGACAAGGGCAAGAAGGTCACATGTTGAGCAGAAACAAAGTCATCTTTTTTAGCTTTCGTGACACAGAAGCACCACAGCCGTTAACTTTAGGCCAAACCAAACATAATTAATCTTGTAACATGACGCTCTTGTGTACAACAAAGGGAGGGAAAATGTTAGACAATGCATTCCGCATTAACTAATTCAAATTTTGTCTCTTGACAGTGTGGCGGCTAATTGGAGACCGTGCATAGCGATGCATGTCAGCTTTTTGTAAAGGCTCAAAAAGAGCGCTCCATCCTTGTTCGCTAATTGCATGAGTCCATTGTAGGTTTTGGGGAAACAGCAGCGTTCCTTTGACCAGGTATAAAGCATAATAATTACTGAATGACGGAGTAATTGATGCGTAAATCTGGCTAATTGTGTCAAAGTATTCATGCTAGCGCTAATATTCCTCGGCTCCTCATAACAGGTCACCACCACTCAATTATAGAGCCACCAATGGTAATTTGTGAATAAAACTAATTTCTTTAATTACATGTGCAAGAAGTACTACCAGTTCCACATTCCAGCATCAGTCAAGTTTTGGCGCCTTAAAATGGTTGTCTCATTTTTAATGGTGTATTCTCTCGAAAGTGCTGGAGAACCTACTTCCTTTGCATTGTGTTTTCCCAAATGACTTGCATAGATAGGGCAATGCGTCCATTACTCCATTTTCTGGAGTTGTGTCTTTTAAAGAAGGACAGGAGGTGGAGAGGGATGGAGGCAAAAGATAGAATTTGTTCTTTAATCCTTTCAGAACAACAAGAGAAGCTCAAAGGCACTAGAAAACACTTTATAAATAGACCCGACTAAAAATAAAAAAAAGCTTTTAATTCTGATAGGAGACATACACTAGAGGTCATCTAAAACTTCGTTTTTTTTTTTTTAGTTTTTTTTTTCTGTAGGACATTGTTTTGCTACTATTTGGGAAAATAAGTGATAATCTTTGGCAGTGAGACATTAAATAATGTGTTCAAGGATTAGTTCAAAACCTTTGATTCGTTCAGAAAAGAAACAAGCGGCTCTTTATGAGTCTATTTTTGAATAATTTACTCAAGCGATTCATTCAAAACACCTGATTCATCCGGAAATAAAATAAGTGACTCTTCACATGTGAATAAATAAATGAACTCAAACTGATTTATGCAAAACTTCAGATTCATTCATAAGTTAAACAGGTAACTGTCTTTATGACTGTAACACTGATTATTTAACTCAGCCTATTCATTCAAACTTTCAGATTTGTTTACAAAAAAAGTGATTCAATATTAAGGCTCAATTCTTCTTAAATCCGTCTTTCGGATGAGACGTTAAACCGAGGTTCCGACTCTCTGTGGTCGTTAAAAATCCCAGGATGTCCTTCGAAAAGAGTAGGGGTTTAACCCCGGCATCCAGGCCAAATCTGCCCACTGGCCTTTGTCCATCATGGCCTCCTAACCATCACCATATTCCAATTGGCTTCATCGCTGTCTCCTCTCCACCAATCAGCTGGTGTGTGGTGTGCAGTCTGGCGCAAAATGGCTGCCGTCGCGTCATTCAGGTGGATGCTGCACACTGGTGGTGGATGAGGAGATTCCCCCCATTGTGTGTAAAGCGCTTTGAGTGCCCAGAAAAGCGCTATATAAATGTAAGGAATTATTATTATTATTATTATTATCAATTAGTTCATTCAAAAACTCAGATTCATTCCGAAATGAAACACGTGACTTGTTATGAGTGGTTTGTTGAATATTTAACTCATCTAATCAATTTAAATCTTCTGATTTGTACATAAATGAAAAAATGACTCTTGATCAGTGTATTATTAAATAATTTACTTAACTTGATTAGTTCAAAACCACTATAATTGGTTTTGACATTTGAATATAAAAGTGATTCAATACTACTGTATAATTGAATAATTTTTAATTGATTCATTCGCTTATTCATTTCAGTCATTCGATTCCTTTAAAACATCTGATAAATTAAACAAGTGACTGTTGATTAGTGTAATATTAAGTAATTTACTTAACTTAATTCATTCAAAACCACTATATTTAGTTTTAAAACTTAAATAAAAAAAGTTATTCAATATTATTGTATAATTGAATAATTCTTAAATCGATTCATTCGTTTATTAATTTCATTCATTCGATTCGTTTAAACATCTGATTGTTCATAAATGAAACAACTGACTCTTGACCAGCATATTATTAAATAATTAACTTGACATTCAAAACCACTATACTTGATTTTGACATTTGAATTAAAAAGTTATAAATATTAGTGTATAATTGAATAATTTTTCAATCGATTCATTCAAAACTTCTGATTCATTCAGAAAATAAACTAGCGGCTCTTTATGAGTCTATCTTTGAATAATTCACTCAAGCGATTTATTCACCTCATTCATTTGAAAATAAAATTGTGACTCTTCACAAGTGAAAAAATAAACTGAAACCGATTCATTCAAAACTTCAGATTTACTCATAAATTAAACAGGCAACTGTCTGTATCGCCCCATTCACACGGGGCATCAGCGTCAACGCTTCCCATTCACTTTGAATGGGTGATGTAAGGCGTTGCCGAACTACACTGTGGATCCGTCGGCACCGCTTCTATGGCGTTGCTCGCTGCAAAAGTTGGGACTTGATCAACTTTTCAAGCGGCGACGAAAGCGTCAGCCAATCAGATTGCTGTATGCAAATACACCAGCTCAGACTGTGGCCTATTGCTGACTAATTTCATTGGCTAACGCTGCTATGACGATGGCGTCAGCCCCAACTTCAGACAGGACCTCTGTCAAGCGTTGACGCTGAAGTCCCGTGAGAAGGAGGCGTATGAGTGTATTACTTATTATTTAACTTGGCTAATTCATTTAAAACCTTAGATTTGTTTATGAAAAAATACTCAATATTAAGGTATAATTGAATATTTTTCCAATCAATTCATTCAAAAACTCGGATTCATTCAGAAATGAAACAAGTGACTTATTATGAGGGTTTTGTTGAATAATTAACTCAACTAATCAATTAAAAACATCTGATTTGTTCATAAATTAAACAAATGACTCTTGATCAGTGTTTTAATCATTCATTTAACTTGACTGATTCAAAACCACCATAGTTGGTTTTGACATTTGAATAAAAAAATGTATTAAATATTACTGTATAATTTTTTAGTTTTTAATCGATTCATTCAAAACTTCTGATTCATTCACAAAATAAACAAGGCACTCATTATGAGTGGTTTGTTGAATAATTAACTTAACTAATCAATTTAAATCGCCTGATTTGCTCATAAAACCACTCTTGATTTTCTATTGTATTATTACATAACTTTCTTAACTTCATCAATTCAAAACTACTATATTTGGATTTCTTATACATAAATGAAATCCATATACATCATTTTTACAATGTTTATGCAATTAATAAAAACAATCTAATATGTTTCATTGTTCTTGTTTAGTTCATCATAGGAATTTCAAATTGCTGTTGTTTTTTTGGACCAAACATTGAAGTGCAAAGAGAAGCCCCTGTCTTCTGTCTAATACCCAGATCGGTGGCCCTCAACACACATTTATGGATTTGGTCATCCCTGACCTGCATTTAGAAGCGGAAAGCTCCGAGATCATGGAGCAATTTCCGGCGGGCCCCTTCGTGGAACTTTAGGATTCAATAGGTCAGTAACACTGCAGCAGAATTTAATGGAAACTTACCAGTGGAGTCCTGCCTATGCTGTTGAGGTAATAGAGGAAACCTTTGGTGTGGTAAATTGTGGGGCTTAAATTAGGGTCCGGCTTCAGCCACTGTCTGTTGAGATCCTCAGCGGTGAGGGAACAGCGATTACTGGAATAAAATGAAAAGAAGAGAGATTACGAAGTCAACTTTAAATCAACTCAAAGTCCAATTTGGATTTTTATGAGCTCTTTAAGCATTCCCGGGAATCAAAGTAACATCAAATAGCATCTGAGTTTGCAATCTAATATCAATTCAGTATAACTGTCTGTTTGAAGATAAGTCTTTGTCAGTATGTCTGTAGACCTGTGTGGACATTAAAACTCCATATCAGCACCTTCTTGCAGGTTACCAAAAGGTCACGGGTGAACAGAGCTATCTAGCACAGCACAAAACTAGTCTGTTGATTAGGGAGCGAGCAGCCGCTGAGCTTTATCTCCTGACAAAAATCCTACTGGCATTTGGAGGCAGCTTGCCAATTGCAGACTCCCCCACATTCAGTTCCTGAAAGCCAATTATGAGACACAATGTTCAAGCATTAGCAAATTGACAGTCCGTGTTTGAAACAGCTGAGCACAACTGTTGCTTTCTGATCACAGGTGCCTCGTGTGATGATTTTTTTGAGGGGTGGTTCTCTTGATCTGGAATGAGCAGAAACGTTTATGTTTTCAAAAAACAGTTGCCAGCTCGAAATAAATGGAACAAAATATTGTGGATTTTCATCAAATGGTGTGGCTGGTCAGACACTGATAACGGGTGCACGAAAACAAAAGATTAAAGTCACCTCTTCTAAATTACAAAGTCTCTAACGTGCCCCAGACAAGTGAGTAGGCTTGACAAACCACCAGTAGCACATACTCCCTGCAGCAAGCATTTTTTTTTGTTAAAATGTCTAATAGATGTCTAAACATAGTCGTCTTGGCTAAAACAAGGCTAAATTTGAGCTGTCAGTAAAAATCTAATAGATGTCTTAGAATAGGCTAAAACTAGACTAGTCATCAAATAGAAATGAATGACTACACATATAGTCTGTCTAATCGGTCTGTTTGATGACTAGTCTAGTTTTGGGCTATTCTTAGATGTCTATTAGATTTTCACTGACAAAGCTGTCTATGTTTAGATGTCTATTAGACGTCTATTAAACACAAAATTGTTTGCTTGGCCTCCTTTCCATATGCACCATACACCATTTTATAAGCACCGCATACTTCTTGGAAAACATTGGGCAATCTGAGTGTGCTCCACATGGGTGAGTGAGCTTTTTTAAACCACCTTTAAGACTAACTTCGAAAAGACTTGTCACAGCATTTATATACCAACACGGGCTTATTGTGGATACGAACCCCTGTCTACATTTCTGGAGAGCGCAAATTATGTAGCCAGAGGTACGTACAGTTGAAGTCAGAATTTTCTGCACAGTATGTCCGATAATATTTTTTTCTTCTGGAGAAAGTCTAATTTGTTTCATTTCGGCTAGAATAAAAGCAGTTATGAATTAAAAAAAAAAAAATATATATATATATATATATATTTAAAGGACAAAATTATTAACCTCTTTAAGCTATATATTTTTTCGATAGTCTACATAATAAACCTAATTGCCCTATCCTGCCTAGTTATCCTAATTAACCTATGTAAGCCTTTAAATGTCACTTTAAGCTGTATAAAAGTGTCTTAAACATATCTAGTCAAATATTATGTACTGTCATCATGGCAAAGATAAAATAAATCAGTTATTAGAGATAAGTTATTAAAACTATTATGATTAGAAATGTGTTGAAAAAATCTTCTCTTCTTAAACAGAAATTGGGGGAAAAATAAACAGGGGGGCGAATAATTCAGTGGGGTTAATAATTCTGACTTCAACTGTATATTATGTTTGTTATGAGGGCCGGAGTGGGCCTCCTTTTTAGCTCTGGAGTTTGAAGCCTTAGACCGGCCCACCTCAGCCGATGACTGATTATGGTAAAATAACATTATTTCCAATTCGGTTTCAAATGACACTAACATGTCATTTTCAAGGACACAGCTGCTTTAGAACTTTAAATGCTTTTCATAATTATGAGAACATTAATTCTTTATAGATATCCAGTCTTTTGTAACAGTCGTCAAACACACAAAAAAAAAATATGTACCCCTACATAAGTAACCCAAATAGTATTTTTTATGTCTTAACACTGAAAATGAAAAAAATATATTCTGGGGTGGTTTGAACTCAGATCGGCGGCGTGTTAAAGTAACGTGCTACCCACTAGACCGGCCCACCTCAATCTACATTGTAAAAGCGCTATACAAATAAAGCTAAAAAAAAGCTGAATAGACCACAATGGCACTTCTGATTTCTGATCAAGTTATGTCAGATTTATTAATGTAGTGAATCATCTGATTTTCATTGAGCAGGTGTATTCATTAATATTAATTAATATTCACTAAGGTACTGCTGTTTGGGGTGGAATAGGGTGCTCACAGGGCTGTGAGAAAATAAATAAAAAGAGCAGAGCTGCGGCAAAATAATGAATAAAAAGAGTGAGGTTATGGTCAAATAAACAAATAAATGAAAAAAGTGCAACTACTGAGAGTGCGAGCAGCTAGGGACACCAGCCCTCGCAGCCAAAAAACGGACCAGCCCACCGGGAATTCTCCCGGTTCTCCCGATTAGCCAATCTGAGTCTGTTTGTTATCATTTTTTTTCCTTTATGTTTCTTTTGTTTGTGCTATCTAGATTTCTATGTTTGATTACAAATATTGGTAAAGACGTCATACCAAGTATCTGTTGTCTGTAATATGTTCACCGGATGCCCTTTTGTGGTTTAAATGAGCAAATTTTGGATTTTGGGATGACTGACTCCACTTATCTCAGAAACAAAATATTTAATGCACATTTGACTACATCCATCTTGAAAACAGAATCTATCCTGGCCATCTCAGTGACTTTAATAATCTAACTAACACAAAATTCCACAATATCCAACTTTGACTTTAACCACATTAAAAATGTTAAAATACATCAAATAAAGTTGCTGATTAGACATGCAATAAAGGCTGTAGGAGAAGGGAGATCAGTGTTTTTCACTCCTGAACAGTTTGTTCAACTAGACTATTTCTGAAGATATCACCAACTGAAGTCAGATGCCTTTATGTGCATTAAAAATTAACAGAAACCAGAAAGAGAACTGCATGACTATAAATAAACCCACTTTTCTAAAGCCTCTCAGAACTTTGAGGAAAGAGCCACAATCTTCAGAGACTGTCATGGTAAACAAAAATGCCATATTGTCTGGAGACAAGGAAATTACTGTATTTTGTGACAAAACAGTTGTTCCGGACAGTTTCCAATGTACCCTAGGGGGGCAGCAAAGCGGAAACTGCAAGAAAATTGTTCCTCCCTACAGCCGTCTAAAGTTTAAGTCGACCTACGTTGGGGAGAGAAAGGAATAGACTGAAACATTGGATGTCAGCTGAGAAGAGCTGAGAGTTAGATCAGCATCTACCCGTCTGTCTGTTTGAGCCATGTTTACACTAGGCGATTTCTGACTTGGGTTTTCAGCTCATTGTGTCATTATGTATTCATTGCTTGATATTTATATCGTAAATATTTGATGAACTCAACTGAGGCTTTTTCTCCGAACAACATCACTGTCTTCGTGTTTTTTCCTCTTTTTTGGGGGGGCTCCATTTTGTTCTTGACAGGAATAATTTATGAACACTTCTCTGCTCCCTCTCAGCTGATGACAACTGAGAGGTGGAACAGTATTTTGTCGCCTTTTATGGTTCCCCCCAAAAAACTGACAGCCTCTCTGACGCGCCCTGCTTTTAAAATGTCTACTTCTCAATATTTCACCCAGTGCACTGCAGTGTACGACATATTCTGCAGCAGCTCAAAGCTACCCTGGTCTCAAAGAGCAAATATAATTCAAGTTAATTATTTAAGAGAACTAACACTTGAAATTAAATACCAATTAACGCATGAACATTTGACTTCACACACTTCAAAACAAACAAAAAAACAATCGTTTGTCATTTAACTCAAACATCTTGCAAACACAATGTTTAATAACCAACTGACTACTCTTCAAAAACATTATAAACCTAATGAAATATTGACTCCACCCTCATCCAAACAGAATATCCAATGACAGTTGACTCCACCCATCTCTCAAACACCTTTCTTTTTCAGAAGGGTCTTAATGTTTTATGTCTTTAGGGTCTTAATACTTTTTTATGTGGGAGAAATGTGTGTAGAAGATAAGTTGTATCATTTTATCACATTAATTATGTATTTTAATTATGCAATAAATGTATTTTGCCAATTTATATACATTTTACATAGATGTGTGAAGTAATGAAGTAATAAGACAGTATTAGAAATGCCTATCAGCTATAATTTTTTGTAAAATCCTGGCTGCGGCCTGAATCTTTTAAATCTAGGAGTTTACAGTCCACCGCATGATATTATTATGTGCATAAATACATAAGTAGTTTTTTTGTCTATTGTACCTTTCATTTTTAAACCGTATTTTGGCGTATTTCAGTCTTCGGCCCACTGTAAAGTGAACATGGATGAGAAAACATGTGTTTTACATGTGAATACATGTGCATACAAATGTGCATGAGTGACCGAGATTGCATCGGTATGAATGTGCTTGCACGGCCGATATTGCACCGGTCTAAGATTGCATCCTATCTGCATCCACACTCTGTTAGTTTTTTTGACATTTCACTTTACTCAGCCTCAGAAAATAAATATGCATTAGCAGGGCTTGACATTACCTTTTTTCATCAGCAGCCACTCTGGCTAGTAGTTTTCTAACATTACCAGCCACTCGCTATTTTCACTCGCCACATTTTTATTGTTGGTAAAATATATTTTATACACATAAACATGTCTTTGACATGCTAAAATTACTTGATTTAGATTTTGCGTTATCTCCACATGCCTCATTCATTTAACTTTTTGTGTATGCGTGTATGAGCTTGCTCAATAACCATGAGCAAATGGGTCATGGTTTCACAGTGTTACAATTAGTTTTTATTTCACATAATTTTCAGAGCTCACAATGAAGGATTTACTAAATTTATTTCTGACCACACCAAACATAAATGAATAATTA